CCTGCTGAGAACAGAGAACTAGAATTTTCCATCAGTATGCATTAAATATAAGCTTGTCAAAAAGTGCATATTGCAATTTTATTAGACATGAGTATGGATCATGTAATCAGTTTTTCCCCTTTTTGTTTTGGTGCAAGTAAGTGAAAATGGATTTGCTTGATACATACAATTTGGAAGAATGACAAACCGTGACACACTATTTGAACTGATAATATTTTCAGACAGGATCTCTTTTTCTTATGTCTTTCAAAGAATATAGTTAAATAAGATTTTTTTTTTATTCTCCACATTTTTAGAACATAAATTTCAATGCTTCCTATCCTGTAATTCCATTCCGAGGCATAAAAAATCCTCTGCTTTGAAAACCTTACTTTGTCTGTCATTTTACACTGTATAATATGTTTGCATTACCATTCCTCATTTATTAATACATGAATCTGACTCAGTATCAGAAAGCTGGAAAATTCCATAAATATTTCTTAAAACTGTGTTTTAGAAATGCTTGAATCTGATACAAGTCACCTTAAATCTGATGCTAGTTACCTGCTCTTTCTCTTTCATCTTCTCTGCACTTTCTAATAATATAGATAGAAAAAAACTTTTATCAACTCTAGTTTCGGGTCATTTATAAGCTGATTTTTAACCATTGGATATTTCAACCCACAGAATGGAAAGGTGGAATTTAAAAACAAATTCATAGAAAGCATTTAGTATCTATTAAAAAACACAAGATTCATGAACAGTTACACTGCAAAACCCTGACACAGGAGAAATGCTAATGCTCATCTATCAGAATTAAATAGTGTAAATAGTTTTGACGGTTCACATTTCTGAAAGATATATGAATAAAATGTGAGTTAAATTTAACTACAATTGTGTTATGCCACAATGCTAAGCTAAATTGAGGTGAGATAATTTACTCAGATCTGATGTTTGCTAAGGATTATGCACATTCCTGTGAACAACCATTATGCCTCATATATGTTCCCTGCTTTGAAGAGTTTAAAATTTAAGCCTATTATAAGACTAAGGAAAAAAAAAAAAAAAAGGAAGAAAACAAGAGTATTTAGGTGCTCTGCTAAGGAAGAGGAAAACATAGAGTGATTTTTCAGAATGCAATAGAAAGATAAATAAAGGTGAAATTTGTAGAACACCAGCAAAAATAAGATGAATAGTGTTTTTATCCCACAACATAGGGAAAAGCAGGGAGATAAAGATACCTCAAATGCTGAGATTGTAACATAGTTACAAAACAGTGAAGGTTTAAGGAAAAGATTTTGTGGTTTAAAAAAAGAAATATGACAAAAACATGGGAGAGGAAGGTTCATGGTTTTAGCAACAGTGACTACTAGTCAGGCTTTAAGTTTTGTTATACAAAAAAATAAATATACGAACAAACAAACAAAAATCAAAATCCTATCCATAACCAAGCCCTTTCAATGGTAATCCTAGAACTTTAGATTTTAGCAACACACATTAATAATTTATTTCACTCTTTTTATCTTCCTTGTAATCCTACAGAGTGAACTTGTGGTAACCTCAGCATCTAGCTTTAAAAGTGGACTTATGTAGCAATAAGAAATAATAGTTGGCTTGTTTAGATTTCTCTCTAACACATTTCTAAAATTGTTTTCCTGTTACATTACATAGAAAATGCCTGACATGGCAAAGCAAAAGCTTTCTGGCAGTTGTAAGGGACTCCCTAAACAATTAATCCATTTCCCAACTAACTGTTTAATTTTGCACACTTAGCAAGCCTTTTGTGTCAAGTTATGCATAATTTTGGGCCTTCCTTCTTAACAGAAGGTAAAAATAATAACTCTGTAAGATGTTGCATTTTTTAGTTTCCATAAAATACTCTGAACCTGTGGACCAAGTCTTCTCTTTGCTGCTTTCTCCACTTGTAATTATTCCATCAAAGTGGGATTCCTCCTTGCTTCTCACAGGAGAGAGAAAAAAAAAAGTAGCACTTGCTGTAAACTTTCTAATCATATTTAATATGTCAAGAACTCATAGTGTATTGGGAGAGCATCAGAAGAACACCTTTTAGAGGATTTCAGTACATGACAGGCTTTTCCCTTAAACCACTAAAAGGATATCTTAAGAAGGTAGTTCTTCCTACCTTTCAAGTACCGCTTCTGTGTCAGATTATCTAAAAATGCATTAAATAAATATTCCTACATGTATAAACAAATTCCAAACTACATTAAACATTTATTTAAAAATATAAGATGTACACTGTATAATGTAGATAATAGGATTTTTTTTGCAGATTCCAAAAATTGGCAGAAGCATATTTGTTAAAAATATATTAAATACAAATTATTCCCAGATCAAAACAGCCAAGCTATAGACGAAAATATCAAAAAAGTTATCGGATACTGAAAATACTAGACAGAATGTTAACTAGAGATTTCACAGAGTGCTCAGTCCTATGCCACAAACTGTACTTTGAGATTTTGAAAACCAATTAGGTTAATTTTGTAACCAAATTATGTTTTAAGATTTGAAATCCTCAGCTTTCAAGGATGTGCATACACATATACAGGGTGTGAGGAACTCTTATGCGGCATTTGCATTATTCATTCCTGCCAATAAAAATACAAAGTTTGCTGGCTATCTCTTGAAGTAAAAGAGAGATATATCATATATTATATATTGCATCCCATATCTCTCTTCCCGTTCTCATTTCCTGCATTTGCTAAAGCAGTTTTTATACATGCATTCATACTCATAGTATTGACTAACTTTCCATTTCTGCTCCGTGGGCATCCTAGCCCTGACTGAATTAAATATGAAGCCAAAAAAGAAGACAGCTTTGTGAGGAAACGAATACAAGATGACCTTGAAGTGAAAACCACCTGCACTGCGTAAGCTCTGGCAATCTAGTTGTAATTTTTTTTTTTTTTATTCACTCTTCTATGTCACATCATAGGAAGGAAAGTTTGAGTATTGATTGTTATAACATTGAACATATTGAACATTATACATTGTTCATCTCACCTTTAGCCTATATTTTTGGCTACAGCTAGCAGATAGTGAAGAAAATCTAACAGGAGCTTTTGTAGTAGCAGCAGAAACTATACACACAAAGTGAACTATCACCATGAAGGGCCAAATTAGTGGTTAGGAGAAAACAGAATCAGTTCAAAGGTAAATGTATTGTACATGCATATGTGCTTATATGTACACATAGGGGTACATGTAGGTATATATATATATACACACATATACATACATAGGTCATACACAGTGCTGTAGAGTAATTGGTCTTTATCTCCCTGCTTATCTCCCTCCCGTTGAAAATAAACCCTTGACAGTCCAAAAGTATACAATAAACAGAAGTAGCCTGGAGGTTTCCCTAACTCTCTGGAGCTTTTAGGGTAAACAGTCAGAAGTGCTTTATGCACTTTAGGGAGAACATACACAAAAATAGAACTGCTAAATTATCAGCCATAGGGAGAAAAGGAACCAAGCTATTTGGAAACAACAGTCACCGAGATAGAAAATTTATACCGGAGAGAAATTTAGGATGGTGTAGGAAGAAACTTACATTGGCAAAATATAAATTGCAAACGAGGTATGTATTTTGGTGCAACATATGACATACATACCTTTTATCTTTTATGCTATTTTACCAGAGAAACTAAATTTGACATCTGCCTTCTGCAGCAAGCTTAAAACAAAAAAATCTTTTATTTCCTGCTCTTTTCTCATAAATATTTTGAACATAATTAAATAAAGATACTGATTTTACCCTAACTGTAGTGCACTATAAAGTTAATTAACTAATATTTTAGATAGCTGTCTCCTTGCAATGGCTAAAGCTGAGATATCAAAGTTTGACTCATTAATTATAAGAAATTTGCATAATGATAACAAAGACAAAATGCAATCTTTTTTTTTCTTTTTTTTTTTAACAGTATAGCATAACTGGCTTCATAAGTACATTACTTTTTCACTTTAATTGGACCCTAATTCTTTAAATTACACACACACAAACAAAGCTGAAAAGCAGATTAAAAGTAAACAATCCATGTACATGAAACCTCAGCATACAAGCATGAAATATTTCAATAAATATTTCCTGTTCTGAGCTTATAATATGAAAATCACTGTAGTCTGTGTATAATTTAATAAGGTATACTCAGGCTTGTGTATAGGTTTTGCAATCATATTTTGATATAAAAAAAGATAACCATATTCCTCTCTAAACCTGTTTGCACGTGAGCAAAGTAGACAAAGATTAGTCTATTATCATTTATAAGGTCTGACCTGGTAAGTGTTTGTTCAAGTGCATTATTTTCTGAGAACTTTTTACTCAGACTATATAAAAAAATGTGTTGCTATGTATTCATGGATGAAGGTTAAATAAGGCTATGATTAAATAAGTACATAAATAACACTGAATGTTTTAAAATGTCGAAAGCTTTTATTATGCTTTATTGTCTCAGGAGATCCTAGTGTAATTTTCATATCTCTCTCTCACTCATTTACTTCTTTTTTTCTCTTTACGCAGGTGACACCTAGTTTTTATTACTGCAGTAACACCTCAATCTAATAGACTTTCTTTTTTTTTTTTGCCTCTCCTTCTCTAGTAATATGGAAGCTAAATAATAACCAGTAATTGGCAGGAATAGCTCACTGGAATGGCTCAGTGACCAAGAGCTCCAAATGAAAATTAGACTGCAGGACCGAGCCCAAAATGTGAATGTTCCTCTCTTTGAAGCACACAGCTCTAGACTGCTGATACTCTCCACCCTCATCCTTGAAGTGCTCTGTTCTTCACTGCATTACACAGTGAATGGCAATTCACCTTTTTTTTCTGACCTTTGTCTCACATTACAAAGAAAATGATCTGCCTTTGAATGCATGCATGGACTTCACACTGACTTGCCTAGGAGAAAGACTCATTTGACACTTGATTTTGTGAATTCATAGTCATTATTGAAAGTATTTCCATTCAACAGCCATTCAATAACGAAACAAGTTATAAAATTCTTTGTAGTAGCTGCATACGTAGTCTAACCAAAAACATACTATGTGAGAAAAACAGCATTTGTTTTAAACCAAAAATTAATATGTTTTATGTATTTTAATATCCTGAAATGGAAATGAAAGACCTGCATTTCGTGTACATATGTATAAACAGATGGACAATAAACTATATCTAATGTCCAAAAGAGAAAGTAAATAACTACCTCTTTCAGAACTAGAGGGAATAATCCTTGTAATACAATAAGAAAACTGATCCCAGAACTGATATGAAATGGTGTCATTTTTATGATTTGAGGTAGACAATTGCCCTTACTTAAAAAAAAAAAAAAAAAAGGGAAAAGATAGTAAGCAGATATTTATTTATTTATTACAAGAGGAAAAGTTCTGGCTTCTTTGACATGTCCGAAACACTAGGGCAATATGACACTTCTGATGAGAACAATCACATAAAGTACTACTACTGAGGTTGGATTCCTGTTTAATTACAATTGATTTTGACATAAATAAGCAGAGGTAAACAAATGCTTCTATACGCACGCTTGCTGTTATTAAACAGTGCTGCCTCCAATCTGAGTATTTATATTGGGTTGGCTGCTTAGAGGCGCCTTTCAGTGAGGCAAAGCAATTATGTAGCTCAGATTGGCATAATGACTGGCAGTAAAATAAGAATAGGCTGACACTTTTTTTGAAACCTCTTGGATCACAAGGTCTTTTCTTGATATTAGAACTGTAATCTTTTTGAGGCCTCTAGAAATCCTGATACAGAGTTTCCACCCTGTCTTTCTTTGCTAGTTTTTCTAGCAAATTTTATAAACAGAATATATTTCTAATATTGACATTCCATAAAGTACTTCAAAAGCAATAAACAGCTTATGGGCCAATAGATTTAATTCTAGATCACAGTTTTCCTGGGCCATAATTAGGGGAAGAATATTGTAGGATAGCATTACGCACTACAGAACAGTTAACATTTTTGTCACGGAAGTATGCTTTAAATTTACATTAATGATTTAATGGCATCATATTTTTGTATTTAAAGACAGCATAAAAACAAGAAAACATTTCCATTACCTGAAAATTTTCCCTCCTCACAGCGGGCTGGTCCACAGATCCCAACGATGGGTCTTTGGCCTCTGCCTTGCTGTTCTGGAGGCAAATCACACCTGTGAGTCACAGACAGGGATAGGCTCTGCTTCCAACATTCCCAGCAATGTCAAAACTTCCCCGTTGGAGGAAAAAAAAAAGTTTCTATCTAGGCACAGCTCATGGCCATTGAAATTATTCAATGAGACGAAAGGGGCAGTCTGAGTCAGTCAGAGTACCAGCAAGGGTGTCCCATGTCCTCCCCATTAGAGCAGAAAGGGAAGGGGTTGAGGATGAACACTCAGATTTGGCTTCTAAGATCTGCCTGTAAGTTCCTGGAAAAGCTGGGACCTACTATCATTCCTGCCTATTGGCTTATGCTGGCCAAAAGACTGTAGAAAAGCTGTAAAGTCACTACGGCCTCTCTCCCATCCATCAAAACATCTTCCTAGCCCACTGCTGCAGGGAGCAAGGTGTAGGATTTAGCTGTGCTGGCCGTGCACTCATGGAGAACTTTCATGGAGAAACTTCAGTGGTTTGTCTGATAAACCCTTATTTAAAAACAGTAAATTCTTAAATAGCAGACCCTTGTTGCAGAGCCAAGAGCTGTTTCCTGGAAAAGAAGAGAAAGAAAACTGGAGAAGTTAACAGACGAGAACATCTCTGCTGATCGATCTGCTGAAAAGAACATTTTTAATGCAGTGTATTTTCCTCATGTTGCTCAATGCACTTCCACAGATTTTAAAGAGGGATTGCTTCTAAACTGGCCTGTAAAAATAGAATAACTCTTAACCTGAAACTTAATCGAATTTGTGCAATCATTTACAGATATTGCATGGCATTCACATGTTTTTTTCTTTACTGACTTACTTCATTGTGCGCTAGTCATAATTGTAACAGCAGTAATTTCCATATCTAATTTGTAATGTCTAGTGAATACTAGCACTGTATTTTGTATTGTGGCGATGCTTAGGAATTCAGTCAGGAACCAGTCCATTGTGCTGTGCCCTATACAACTAATAATAGATTGTACAGTTACAGGCAAGAGGCAACAAGTGATTATGGCAAACAAAAGCTATGAATGGGATGGAAAGACAACATTAATGAAAATATAATCAGGCTGTTGGCAGTTCCTGAAAATGCCAGTGTGAAAGCTCCATAATTCAAGGAAGCTTTCCCCATCTGTTACACCATCAAGCCACCGATGATTAGCTATATGTTATACCACTGAGTCCTCTTCCCTGGCTATCAATTATCTCAGTATTCAAATCTTTAATTAGAAGGCACTAAGCTTTTTGCTTTGTCAGCTTCTCTCAAAGTTGGAGATGACAACTTGTTTACAGGCATTGATTGATGAGGGTGCCACTGAGAGAAATAAGAGGGGTTTCTGAAGCAATTTGTTTCTATATCCTTTCGACGGCTCCGTTTGTATCCTGACTGTCTTGAATGGAAGTATATGAAGTTCTGTGTCTGAGCATGATTTGGTCCAACACAGAATCAGTGCATTAAAGCATTTTAAATGCTATCAGTTTTCCTTTATGAAGTCTCACAAAAAAAGTCCAAAGGCAATTCAGAAACTGAGCCATCCTAAATTTGGCTACTTTGGAGAGAGTACTGCTTCCCTCATGTTCCTGCCAGCATGCCTGGATTTACATTTAAAATCTCTTTTACCAGACATAATAAGACCATATCTGTTTTACACTGATAGATAGAAAAGCCCACTGAGTATCATTCTCTGCTTCAAAAGGCTGATGTTGCACAAGGGTCATACACTTTGGACTTCATGGGAGGTAGAAGGTAGAAAGCATCTGACAGAATAAGATGAAAAATGCTTTTCCTGATTCTGCTCTCAAAAAAAATGCTGGCTATACAGTGGTCCAGTCATCTCAAGGAATCCTCACTTGGACATAAAATGAGGATAAAAGGACATGAAAATGAATTTATAGGATAAAAAAAAAAAAAAGATTTAACACTTTCTTTCGGAACCTCACCTATGCCATGCTAAGTAGCATATACATATTGCATATAATTGTTAGGCTAGATAGTGTTCTGGACTCTTGTTAGCAGTTTGCTGGTATTAGGTTTTATTACTGCCTTCAAAATAGATTTCCAGGATCAGATTCCCCATATGCCAATTTATGAATCACCTAAATTCTGTCAATAATTTGAGTTTCCTAATGCTACTTCACTTTCTGCCCGGATGGTGCTCCAATTAGATCAACCAGAAAGAATAATTAGGGATGTTGTTTTGGAACCTGATGTTACAAGTATAGGTAGTATGGTAAAGAGTTGTAAACTGAGTTGATGTAAACTGAGCTGATATGTTTTCAGGGTCTGTATGAACTTGTGAATGCCTTCATTTTTCCAGATACTTCACCAAGAACCTTGAGTTCCAGTTTGCTTTTTTATATATATTTTCAGGATCATAATTATGAAATTACACATTCTAACAACTCTAATGCACAGGATCTCCAAGAAAACCATGGGATATTCAGAAGCCTTTTGCTTTATTGGAATCTACCACTGATGACATTTACTTAGTTTACAGTTCCGTGTATGATTTCCACTGTGATTTCCTTGCTTTTGATATTAATGGCTGCCCCATCCTCCTAGCCCTTTTTTGGCCTGGGAAGAGAAAGGGCAAGATGTCTACAGATAGTTTTGGCTTGATTCTTAGTACAACAGGTAATGGGAAGTTGTGGAAAAAAAAAAAAAAAGTTGTTAAAAAAAAAAAAAAAGCTGAAATAGCTATTGGGTCCCAGTTTTCTCTAACTGTCTCTGGTATTCATAATAAAAATAAAGTGGCTTAGCTTTGTTTTTGTTTTGGTTTGTTTCTTCTTTTTTTTGGTGGGAGCTGTTTTTTTTGTTTGGGATTTTTTTGAAAAATAGAATTTCTTTAATTCTCAAGGAGACAAAACCTGTGTGAAAAGCACAATATGTGAAAGTAAGGCTCAGTCTGACCTTGCACAAATTCTGTAAGGATTTAAAGTGGGAAAAAAAAATGTTCCTATGGGAAAAAAAAATTAAAATCTTTTTCCTTCAGTCTACCTGTTACTGCACATGTTCAGTATGTATCATACTTCTCAGGTATCTAACAAGCAGTTTAGCAGAGCTCTAAACTTATTTGTAAGCTCTCAAGTGGCTCTGCAGTTCCAGCTGAAGATGGATACAAGGCAGCTAATTTGCTGCCACCAAGGGAAAATGTTATAACATAAAAACATTCCCTCCCTTAGCTTCAAAACTGTTGAGTGTCTAGGGAGCTGAAGTATTTGTAGAGTTGATGCTATGCATATGCTTCCACTGTAACTGCTACATGCATACATCTGGCATCTGTCTCTGTGTTAAACAGTCTTAATTGTCCCTAGTTTTACTATGCAAAAAATATAACCTTTGTTAATACAAAGGAAATAAATTAAAAGGATGTGTATGATTTTGTATAATTATTTTTGCATCATTGGCAAGATTTGCAAGGAGCTCTGCACTATGGCTGTCAGCAAAATATTTTACTTCTGTTTTGAATATCTTTAAATAGAAATTGTGCACTGTTCTTAGCATATCATTTGGCATTTCATACAGTCTCTTAATAAAACAGAGTATTTTCCTCTAGAAATAGTTTATGTAGAACTGTTTTCCATTTTTTTTCTCACTCTTTTTTTCCTTGTTTATTGCTCCTTCCTCCTTCACTTACATCAGACTTCAGAAGACCTTATTATTTTCCAGACAAAGCAGGATCAATTTTGAATATATGTCATAAATGTTTTCAGGTTCTATTAGGTGGAACTTTATGTGTTAGCATATTATTCAACTCAAGACTCCCGAAAGCACTTGATTTGAGATGTTAATTATTTTTAAAAGATCAAAGATCATGGCCAAACTTGTTCCTTGGTTTGTATCTTAACATATGCAGAATGATACTCTAAAAGATAGTTAACTAATGCTATGGGAAAAAAAATGAAGACCTTCTGAAATTAATTTAACAGTTGCGTCAATGCTCACATTAAAGATGTCAAAGTGAAAAATGCTTTTAACTGAGAAAATATACTCAAGTAGGTTCTTTCTGGGGAGAGAAAAGAAAAAAAGCAATAAAAATCTGCTGCAACTTTGACATCTGACATTGCTCATTATACATATATTTACACACATACATATATATATTTCTATCTAATGTTAAGAGTGTTTCTTTTGCTAAGATTTCCTTTTATGAACATGGCTATAAAGAAGGGTCCTGCCTAGGCAGCTGTACTTGCTTCAGTTCTCACATCTAGGTCTTCTGAAGGGCCCAATCTCTATACTTGATCCGATACTTCTAACTTGCTCAATTTATATTAAGTTCTTTCTAAATTATTACTGTGAATTACTGCAATGTGTTGACCTGCACAGTAAAGAAACACACTCTGGAAGTTGAAGAATTGAGCCACAGATGCCTCACTAGAGTTGGTCAAACCTTCAGCTCCCTACTCCCCAGTGAGCAGGGAGACGGGCTTGTCTCTGCTATAGTTTTTCACCCCTCTTGCTTGAGCTTTCTTATCATGCAACAGAAAAGCAAGAAAGACAGAGTTTAAGTTAATCGAGCACTTAAGGAATTCTGGGAGAGTTCCTGAAAATCTTCAAAAAGAAGAACCCAGGAAGTGGGTTCAGATTCTGAATATTAGTTCTGTCAGATGCTTAACAGCAGCTTTAAGGGAGAGACTAATTTAATTCAAGAAGCAGAGATAGCCACATAATATAATTTCTGGTGATTAAAATTGGCCTTGAATTCTTATGCTGTCTTTGCATACAACGATGAAAGATGGCTTTGAAGAGCCATTCAGGATGCCTATGGTAGGCTCCAGACCTAAAACATCTCCCAGACAGGTCTACCTATCTTCACTTAACATGTAGGGAGTTAGAGATGTGAAGTTTTCCATTCAGTATTACAATCATGACCATCATTCTATGTTTTTCCTATTAGCTGTATGAAGCTTTTCAGCACTCAGCAGATTATCTTTCATGACTCTAAGAGCCCAGTTTTCCCCAGGTCAATGGATGGAATTTAGATGCTTAACTCAGCATGGTGAACGCCC